TACTGACATTTAAATCTGTTTTTTGGACAAGAATAGATAACTGTTCTATTACACTGGTCACACAAACTTCTCCAAATTTATGATTATAGTAATTATAATCAGCATTTTGAAGAAAATTTCTTCGAAATTAGAAAAGAAATAATAGATCTTAAAGTTAAATTAAAAATAAAACACTTTGTTCCAGCCAAGATGTAGTATAATAAAGAATGTGTTTATTCCTTCACCTATAACTACTAAAAATGGGAGGAAATACATGAAATAACAGTTTTCAGACACGGGGCATCAATCAGCACAGGCAACAAAAGCCCATGGCAAATCCAGTCATTAAGAGACAGGAAACAAACTAGATAAACTCTATAAACACATCAGTTTGCTGATGGAAGAGAGGTCTAGGCCTCAGTGCAGGAGAAAGAACCTAGATAGAACCTGATATTCATCCTGAGTTCAGGGGACAGAGCTGGGTGCGGACAAATCATGAAGTTCACACAGGGCCAGAAATAGTTCGTGTGCCTACCAGCCAGATGGAAAACCTTGTAATTATAGGGTGTCAGGTAGGGTGCTCAGAGGGGTGCTGCTAGCTTGTATTATTAGCTCCATACTTTAGACTATGCTGGTCCTGTGTAACAAATCTTAGAGCCCCACTTTATAAGAATCAAACTTTTTTTCTTTTGAGACAGAGTCTTACTGGGCTGCCTTCAGTAGAGTATGGTGGCGTCACAACTCACAGCAACCTCAAACTCTAGGGCTTAAGTGATTCTCTTGCCTCAGCCTCCTGAGTAGCTGGGACTACAGGCACTCGCCACAACGCCCAGCTATTTTTTTTTGTTGCAGTTGTTGTTTAGCTGGCTTGGGCTGGGTTCGAACCTGCCAGCCTTGGTGTATGTGGCTGATGCCCTAACCACTGTGCTACAGGTGCTGAACCAGAACCAAACTATTTCCAAACAACTTAACTGTGTCCCAGAACACAGCTCTACAGTATTTATATAAATACAAATATATACAACACCCAATAAGGTGAAATTTATAATGACTGTCATCCAAACAAAAATTACCAGGTGTGTGGAAAATAATGAGGAGAAAACTCAGTGGAAGTAAACTGACACAGCAATGATACAAATGGTAGAATTAGGTGATTAAAACAAGGAAATGCTTGTCATGGAAAGCATTTTGCAAAAACCATTCATGGTACTCAAAAAGTACTTCAGTTCACAGAAGTACTTTTTGACTTTTACTCTGAAAATAAATGTTTAACCTCGTCATAATGTAAAACAACAATGCAGAAACGACAGAGTATGTGCTTTAGTTTTCTTAGTTTTACTTAGAATGGACTCACTTTTTAAAACAGTGGTTAAATGAGAGTATATGTTGTACTTTCTCAAATGTTTTATTTTTTGGTTAAGGTATTATGGTTTTCTATAAAATTGTAAACACTTTTTAAAAACATATTTTCAATGATAGTGATTATTATAGACCTGTCACCAAAATACTCCATGAGCTTTTCTTGTTAGAAAAAGGAATTATCTGTCTAGATAAACAGTATCCATCTAGGTAGTTTGTTAGGTAGGCTTGGCCTCCTACCATAGGTAGAATGTGTGAAGAAAGAGATAAGAAAGGTCAAAGGCTCCCACTCCTTCTCTTGACTAGCCTAAAAAAAATTTTAAAAAGATCAAAGGGACAGAAATAAGCCAATGAGAGAGAGAAAATAATAAGAATAAATTTAGCTATGGGAGAAATTAATTTTAAGCCATTGTTTTCCCATGTTTGGAATGTGATGTGTGAAAATGGGAATAGGTCCTTGCCATTGAGTGATTTCACCATCTTTTTATTCCCTTGGTGGTGGTTAAATGAATCTTCTGCAGTTATCTGCCAAATTTGTTTTTTCTTCTTGAGGTCCATAGCTTCCATCGTATTTTTCAGTTGTCTTTACGTGACACAAAATCATTAAAGTTGCTGACTTAGAGGGAGGGCAAAATTGAAATCCTGAATTCGTGAATGTGAGGAATACATTTGTTGGGAAATTACTGACTGTGGGGAATAAGTTGATCATTTTGTTTTTGGCTTTATGGCCACATAGTGATTGTTGAAAAGCATTTCTCGGGCCTTAGCTACCAAGGTTCCACATTTATAGGGATTTTGGCATGGACAGAATCCTGCTGATTCTGATAAATGTAGTTCTTTGACCACAGTTTAAGAAATTCTGCTTTAAGCACTTTGGTACAGAGAATATTTTCTTAATATCCCTGATATGTGGCACTGTAGCTTCTAGCAGACACTGCTTATTTTCCCCGTGTCCTTAAACAACAGTTTTATTGAATGAAAGAAGTAAGAACTGACAGTCTGGTGTGGGAGCAGAGTCTTGAGCAAATAATTAAGACCTCGATTATAACATCATGTTATAATTTTCTACAAGTGGGCCTTAACCATCTTGGGGGTCAGTGTCTGTTTTTTCAATAGACTAGTATAGTTCACCTTAGCTACCATGTGTCCATGGGTAAGTCAAAGAGAAAGTATATGAGTGTTTTTAAAACTCTCTGTGGTCGTGTTTCTGTCTCAGCTTGAATTGTTTGCTTTTGCTGTCTGTTTTTCCTCCTGGCTCATGTAAGCAATGACAGTAACAATTCTAAAGTAAAAGTTACAACCCACCCAGCTTTAAACTAGGAGACATTGGTTACTCTGGTGTTGTCAGTGTTTATTAGAGCAAGCATATGGTAATTGGAATTCCTCTGAATTGAGTGTTTGAGAATTGGCAGGGAAAGCAAAAATAATTTAGGTTATAGAGTAAGAAAGTTTGACACAAAGGAGGGTGCAGGTGGGTGATTTCCCAGGCATATATTACCTCATTCATCTCCATATTCCCTAGAGCCCAGCTGGTACACAGCCTTGAGAATGTGTGTGATCTGGAACACCCAGGGAGTGGACAGAAGACAAGGGTATTGAAATTCACTCAGAGCAAGACCAGAGAGCTTTGATTCAGAATGGAGTGTTTTGGGCTTTCCAAGGACAGATTGAACTTGACCATTTGGCTCCAGAACTATTCAGAACTCCTGGGAATTTTTCTGACTAGGGAGCAAAAAGCCAATCTCTGTTGCTATATTCATATTCTTCTCTTAAAGATTCCTCTGTCTTTAGTCAATTCTATTTGGTGATTTGCATAAATGTGACAGGTTAACAAGTATCCTTGAAGCCACTCGCTGATGTAGCTGAATAAAAGATGTTTTGTTGCATTCACTAGCCTGTGTGTGTGTGTGTGTGTGTGTGTGTGTGTGTTAATGAGATCCTCTGTGTGTGTGTGTTTAGATCATAGAAGATCCTGAGTGTGTGCACGTGTGTGTATAGATCAGATCCTTCATTGGAGAATGTTTATTACAGTCAGGAGGGAAATTGGATTTTGGAAACCCAATTGCCTGTTGTCTTTTGTTTTTAGTCTTTTACTTACCTTTCATTTCTCCTGAGTCTTGTCTTCTCTCCTACTTCTTCAGGAAGAGAATCTATCATTTAGGAAGGAACTCTTAGAGAGGAAACTCAGACATCTTCCTCTAGGTATAAATGAACGTGTGCAGAATGGGACATGTGAATGACGCTGTTTGATCTACCATCAGTACCTCTTGGCAAGTCATGTCTGTTTTGAATAGTCTCCTGGGCTTCCTACTCATTTGTGGGAAAATTAACATCTGGTAAACAACTCGGTACCTTTCTACCACTTAGACCTTTAACAGTTGTTTGCCAGGCACCTGGCTCAAATAGTTGAATCACTGTGATATTTTATTCTGGTTTAGCCCCAGCAAAATTATGTAGTGTGAAGTATTTAATTTGTAAAACATTTTGATGTATTGGGAGAAAGAGGAAGTAAAATTCAAACCTGCTGGTTTTGTTATTTCTTAACATGTCTGCCCAAAGTCTGCATTGGGACGGTTTAGAACACTCCGTGGGCCTTCTTGAGATCTCTTTTTGGTGCTGTTCCTCCTGTTCCCTGCCTAATAGGTACTGAACGTCTGTCACAACTACTTGGTATTTATGTTCATTCTTAATATTAATAAGAATATAATTTTTCTTCAACTTCTTCTAGCTCTTGGCAGCTAGTGAAACTTCCAAATAAATATATCACTTCTGTATTTGTGCTATAGTACATATATTCCTTATTAGTTGATTTCTGAGCATGGGCTTCAATACTGTATTCAGGATCTAGAACTGGAGAAATACTTTTCTGGTTGCTTATACAACCCCATCTCAGTGTCATGTTAGTTGCTATAGTTCTCCTGTTAAGTTAACAGGACTTGCCTGCATGTAATTCTGTAAAATTCATTTACATTTGGGAAATAAAGACTCTTTTGATCTTTTTAAGATGTCTCTTTCTCTGCTTTTCTCCTTGAATTCCAAGCCTCATAATACCTATTATTTATGGATTTATCTTGGAGGATTTATCCTATGGTTATGGATATTAAAACGGGAAATATATAGGATATTATTTCTAATAGGAAGTAGTATTTTCCTATTAGAAAAATCTTTAATTTTTTTATGTCTCCTTTATAGTAAATATGCATTGATTGAATACATGTAGAAGAAAAAATATAAGCAGTTAATTTTATTATATGAATTAGGTATTTTTTTCTTATTGCAATCTAATTTTTTTTTGGTGTATTTAAATTACCACTATTGCCCATAAAATCTTGAAGTCATTTCTTTTCAAATTTAAAAGTAAATTGTGAAAGGTAATCAAGAAAATAAAACTTCAGTTAAAATAGAAGAGTTAAAATGTTCTTTCCTTAGGATTTTAAGGAGAAAGCCCTTCTTCACCCAGCATTAGCAAGCAGGTGTGGAATGGAGGTGGTAGTACTTACCATAATTCTGTTACCACAGCTGTCATGGTCTCTCAGTTATAAATTAGGTTATTTCCCCAGTAATTAGTCTCTTATTATCTAATTAACATATCTGATATGTAGATGAGTAGCAGGAAAAAGCTCATTTTTGGAGAATAATATCTTCTTTTGTATTTATTTTAGGGAAACCTCACAGCATTGGTAGCTCTGAACGGATTCAGCTCTCAGGAATGTATAATGTCCGTAAAGGCAAAATGCAGTTGCCAGTGAACCGATGGACAAGACGTCAGGTCATTCTGTGTGGAACCTGCCTAATAGTGTCATCAGTAAAAGACAGCTTGACCGGAAAGATGCATGTTCTTCCACTAATTGGTGGAAAGGTAAGTTTAAAACAATCAACATACTAACAGGTTTCCCAGCATCAATAAGGACCCTACTTTGAGCCGTTTTTGATATGAGGGATAGATAATTTTTAACTCATCTGAAGTCTTACTCAGTTCTTGGTGTATTCTCCAGTGGGAATGGTCATTTGGTGGAATTGTGGAAATTAACAGTGACAATAACCATTGATTCACATGAAGTCCAGATGATGGTGGTTTCATTAGTATATAAATTTTATCTATTGGACTGAAAATAGATCAAATAAAATTTCACTGGTAGAATGTAGATTATACATTCATTATTTATAAATAGACATCTTTTGATTTCATAAACATATTTTGTAATAGATTCTTAAGTTTGTACTGATTCTTAAGTTGGTGATCTTAGGAACATTTACACATGCTTACCAAGGGTTGGACTATAGTGCTTAAGTCTTTGATTGTACTTCCTTACCTTTCTGGGTTTAGTGACAGGTGAGGTTAGCATTTTTAATTTATTTCTATGATTGACAAGTAACAAAATTTGAACCTTAAATATTTTTCATTTTGAAGTAAACATGATACAGCTGATATATTTCTGACATTACTGGCTCTGTTTCTTTGGATATTAACTATTTTATTCCTATTATTTATGAAATAGAATCAGATTTCTTGGGAAATATATTTTTTTCTTTATTTATAAAAATTGATTAGATTTATTTATAAGCTCCTAAGCATTGGTAGGGATAGCATCACCATAATTATGTAGCAGTATTGATTTTTAACTGATACAATATGTTAATAATTGAGAATGAACATGTAGATGAGAAAATGGATTG